ATGTCAGCCTACAGATTCCCGGTGTGGCACAATCAAGGGAACCAGGAGCCAGGCGCCCGGCTCTTGGGCTCTCACCCTTTAACCTACAGCACGGAACCTCGACGGCAAATACCAAGTAGGCATCAAGTCCCCGGTTGGTAACGAACAAGGTTGTTTTTTTGTTCGTCTGGTCCTTGCTCTCTCTCTCTCCAGTCAACTCCAGTCAAACTCCAATCTCCCCTAGAGATGTACACATCTGACCCAAGGTACATATCAAGCACGGTCACTTGAATTGACGTTGCACTCCACGCATCGCCCTAAACTCCTTACGAATGTCCATCTATGGATTTTCTTCCACGGCCTCCTCACGATTGCCAGCACGTCACATGCTTACAAGTCTACCCAATATGGCGGTGAAAGTCTTGGAAGCGGCACATATTATGTAGCATAACAAAAAAACAAGCATCGCATCGGATAAAAATAGATGAGAGAGAACAATGTGCAGACATGCTGAAATTCAATGTATCCTTTTTTCGGGTTGTGGGAATTGACTCCGCCAATCTTTCGAGACACCTAATCCAGTCTGTGTGTGTAACACTTGTACCAGGTAATTGAAACGATTAATATTGTACATTGCTCATGCCTCAAAAAACTCCGCGTCTAATATGGTTGTTCCCTTCTCCTTTACTCTATCCCGGGGGTGCTTTATACACGTAGTACCTTGGCGGCAAAGTTCTGGATGAGCTCCTCGGTGGGGAAGCTCATCTGTTCCAGGCCTTGGGCGTACGGTGTGGGGACCTCAGCGCCGGTGATTCGTTGCGCGGGGGCATCTAGGTAGTCGAAGGCGTACTCCATGGTCGTGGCAAGGATCTCGGATCCCATACCAGCGAAGGGGAATCCGGACTCAACCGAGATCAGTCGGTGCGTCTTCTTAACCGATTTGACAATCGTCTCCACATCCAATGGCTTGACCGATCGCAAGTTGATAACCTCAGCCTCGATACCATACTTCTTCTTCAAACCCTCAGCTGCAACCAAACATTGGCCGACGGTGCGGGACAGGGAGACGATGGTAATGTCCTTGCCCTGGCGCTCGATCTTGGCCTTGCCGAATGGGATAACCCAGTCGTCCTTCTGCGCGGCCTCGGACATGGGGAAAGTTTGACCATACAAGAGCTCGTTCTCGAGGACGACGACGGGGTTGGGGTCACGGATAGCAGCCTTCAGGAGACCCTTGGCATCTTCGGCAGACCAGGGAGAAACAACCTTAAGACCGGGGATCGAACCATACCAAGCGCTGTAGTCCTGAGAGTGCTGGGCGCCAACACCGGCGGCGAAACCGTTGGGGCCACGGAAGGTGATGTTACAAGGCTGGATACCACCGGACATGTAAAGGGTCTTTCCAGCACTGTTGACGATTTGGTCGATAGCCTGCATGGCAAAGTTGAAGGTCATGAACTCGCACTAAAAAGCGAAATATCCGGTTAATCCTGGTCTACTCTTCGCATCACAATTGGAGATAGTTCGAATTTTGTACTTACAATAGGCGCCAGACCACTCAACGCAGCACCAATGGCCAAACCAGTGAAACCACTCTCCGTAATTGGTGTGTCGATAACTCTCTTCTCACCGAAGCGATCTAACAGACCTTTCGTGACTTTGTAGGCTCCGTTGTATTGTGCGACCTCCTCACCGATAACGAAAACCTTGTCGTTTGCCTCGAGCTCCTCCGCCATCGCCTCATTGAGGGCCTCACGGACGGTGTACTCCTTGGTTCCCTTCACATCGGCGAATGTCCTTCTTTGCGAGACAGAGAAAGTAGCGGGGGCGAATCGGGAAAGGGCTCTCGGAGCTGCGACAGTGCGTGCAGAGGTAGCTAGGCGAGCCGCCGGACGGAGATATCGCGACATGGTGAATTGCGGGAATTGGCGGCGGGGAGATTATGTAGGTGAGGATAAGATTATAGAGGATCAATTCAACTCCCAGTCGACTTGAAGTTGACGTGGCTGTCGCTGGTTGTCGTTGATAACAATGATAGTGATAATTCCAGGTGGTTGAAAAGAGCGATTTTCTCCGTCAGCCCTTTTTTGGAGTTGATTTCCAATTCGCGTTCGCTCTCCCAACTTTTTTTTTCGGATGGAATAGGAACAGCTTGTTGAGAGTGAGGGCAGGGGCTAAGCTTGTTTAGGTTTAGCCTGTTACCTTACTGACCTTACTCTTCCGAAATATCGGAGCTACAAAGGTCCTCAAGCAGCAAATTCAGCCCTGGGTAAGGCCTATCTTCGCTATTTTAATACGTGCTAACCGCTAGCAGATAACGCACCTAGGGCATTAACTTTTAAGGGTTTGCAATGGATTCTTAATAGCCTCGAACGCCATTTCCCTAGTCCGTTGGTCATTATCAGTGGATTGCTGGGTAACATTTAATCGTGACGGACGTCGATTGGGGAATCCTCCGTTGGGGGTAATCCGTATTATGTAGCATCTGTTAAAAACTCACCGAGCTGACAACCGCTAAAATTACATGCACAAAGATAAGTCCTCATAACTAGAAAGCCAAATAATAGATAAATAAACTTCTTCTAAAACCTCTATTTTTTGACGCTGCTAATATGTATGCGATAAAAGTGATATCAGTATGCTAAGTATGCTGTGGTATTATGTACAGAAAATTTGGAGCCAAGTCCATCTGTCGAAGTTCGGTTTGGCCTCCCAGATGGGTCTGGTATTATTAATATTAGGTAGGCATGGGCATTGCTTCTTTACTCGTCATTGTGCTTATAAGCACAGAACTCGTCTTCGGGGGTATATAGCTCCATCAACATCAACATGCTAGTGCTCATTGCTCAGGTTTCTTTCCAACCATCAGGTACATCGGTGTAAAGAGGTGCTTCTCTCCACCAGCGACTAGACAGTCAGCAGCGCGGGCTAAGCTGTCCGCCGTCTTCTTTGTACCCGCTGGGGCCAGTCCGGTCGTCTCCAAAACACCAGCGAAGTTGTGTGCTAGAAGACGACCCCACCAAGTCATACGAGCAATGGTAAACGAATCGAATACCGACTGCATGTACTTCCACTTGCCAGCAAGGGGCCAGTACCAGGGGATAGGGTCGGGGCGGTCAGCGAGATCTTCGTGGTGTAGCATCTCGAAGCCTGAAATCTTCATGGCCTCGATACCTTCGGAGATCTTAACCATGTTGGAGATACCGTCACCTTGCTCGATTCCGAGACGGATCTCACGGTGCTCTAGGTTGTCGTTGTCATACTCGTCAGTCATAAGCCATTCGTATACACCGAAGACACCACCGGGCTTTAGCACACGGAAGATCTCGCTGTAGACACCAGAAAGCTTGGGTGCGTGCACGGTGGCTTCAATGGCGTAGACGGCGTCAAAGCTGTTGTCAGGGAAGTCCATTTGCTATTGGGCCTATTAGTACGTTGATCGATCGCATTGTCCGCAGCGCTGGTGACTTACCATGAAATCGCCCTTCACAAATGCTAGTTGATTCGACAGACCCTCTTTAGCGGCGTAGTGGGTCGCACGCTGAATCTGGTAGTCGTTGTTGTTCAATCCCGTAACATGGCAACCGGTGAACTTGGCGATCTCCCGAGCGGGACCACCAACACCACAGCCAACGTCCAACACCTTCATACCCTCCTTTATACCAATCTGGTGTGCGAGGTAGTGTTCATGTCGGGAAATCGCTTGGTAGAAGGTCTCGCCGATGGAGTAACGACAGAAGTGGAAAGATTGGCCCCAACCGTACTCATACAAGTCCGTCGCAAGGTTGTAGTAACTAGAAACAAGATGCGTTAGAAATAGGAAATGATAGGGGGGATGCATATATGCGACATACTGTCTCGTCAAAGTAGCGTATTCAGCCGTTCGCTTGGCTCGATCTTCCTCTGTCTCGTCCTTGGCATCCTTGTTGTCCCAATGCTTGAAGTACTCGTCAACAGCCGCCTTAGATGCGCCGTTACCCTTTCCAATCATAGCTCTGAAGCCACCAGCATTGTTAGAGGTGCCTCCGTGAAGGGCCTTGTTGAAGGCGGCATCACGCTCCCTATCTTGCTTCTCCAGCTCGATCTTTGAAGGTGCCATATTGAATGATGTCAATAACAAGGTTTTCGTAGATCTTGACGTGAAAAATAAATACAGACGAGGGATTGGAGAAAAGTTATTGACAATTGGGCTTGTAAATAAGTAATTGGGGTAGGTGTTGCGGTTGTCAAGACGAGCGACACATGAAAAAGGGGAGGACATCAATGGCCATTTTATTATTTTTCTGTCTTATCGACAATTGATTGTATCGACCCACTTTAGAGCGGTCCAGGGACCTTTCCCAATTTCTTGGCCAATTTCCATGGAGAAATGGTCCAAGCGTGGGGAATTCTTGACCAACCATAATTCGCCGAACCTGCATTAGGGGAAGGCGGAACAGGGGGCAGCTTGAACCGTACTTTCTGTGCCAAAACTTCGAATGTTCCCCTGAATCCGAATACGAATCCGACAAGCCACAGAGAGGAACGTACTCGGGTATGTGGCTGAGAAAGGTAAAGGTGGCTTTACTGTCACGAACTTAAAATTCTTGCATGTGAATCAGCGGCTCGGGAACGAATACGAATTCGCATCCTCACATTTAACATTTTGACATCGCATTTTCAACGGTGATAGTTCCAAACATACCCTAGGAAAGATTGCCAGTCTGAAAAAAATAGGCTGATAACCCACATCGTTTGAAATTATTCGATAGGAGCGGTAAGAAGGTATTGGCAGGAGAGTTGCCAGGGAATATTCACGTACTTTTAGCAACCAAGTGTTTATCCTAAAGAGAATTAAAATAGTAGGTTAGGTAACTGGCACGGGACATATCTCATAGAAATGACCTTTTTCAGCTTTAGAGTTAGTGATAGTGAGGTAGATAGACTATAGAGAAAAAAAAAGAAACCACCTATATTAACAGATGCAATTGATCATTTTAGGAGGGCAAAAGAGGAGTCCAGCCAGAGCCAGAACACCACAATGGACTCGCGGGGAATCGAACCCCGGACCACTCACATGGCTGTCTTATGGAGGACGAACCCGTTGAAGACGATATGCTAAGCGAGTATTATACCACTAAACCACAAGCCCATAGATATATCCAGTTAGGGATTGCGATCCCACTTGATTCGTTGAAATTCAGATTTGGGTTTACAATCTATATCCAAGCTCTCTTCCTTCGCGCAGCCCCCACTTAAGTTTCTACTTAGACCAAGTCGGAAAGACCCGAGAGATCTTGTTAGGGATTTTTGCATCTAGATCTAGAATCAATCCTACTGTAGGTAACTTCCAACGATAAGGTAATCAACTCCAATCGCCCATATTCAAGAATCCTATGAGGACGAAAATCTATTATTATTTTCGAAATCGCGCCAAAGATATCAGAAATGCGTGGAGGGTAATTTACCACGTCCATCTCCATTTCTTCACCAACTCAACCCTGTGTCCATCGGGTGTCTCATCCGTCTTCCCAGTCACAACAGGTCCATCTCCCTGCTTGTCTATCTTCTTGTTGCTAAACAAATACCATGTCATCTGTCCTATAATCTCTACGGTTACTAAAGCAGAAAGCGCAAGACACACTGTAAAGGCTGTTCGGTAAAGCGGTGCATCCTGAGTTCGGAATACCTGACTACCAGCAATACCTCCAGCATTCGCGCCCATAATGATCATTCTAAATACCGTGGTCAGTTTTTGTGAGTAAGACGTCAAGGTGCAGTAAGAGGACTTACGCCATAGCAATGCTCCGTTCTTGCGGACTCTGGCAGTTGACTGACAGCCAGCTGACATTAAGAATATGAATTGTGGAATTCATGGCCATGGAGAAGACGACAGAAACATATCTCCTGTCGGAATTCCATCCGTAAGACTCCCTCAAGCATGTAAACGCAATTATGCTCCAGATTGCTCCAACCAATAGTGCCGGTGCTCTCTTTCTTGTCCTATCGCACACCCAAGCTAGAGATACCGTTACTATCGCAGCAATGAAGGCACCAACACTCGCCATTGCGTTAGCTCTGACGGTACCATAACCCAAGCTTTTTATCACACTTGGACCATAGGTGTTGATCGCATTTACTGGGATGGTGGATGTTAACGTGATGGCAATATGCATCAGAATTCTTGGATTCTTGACAGTCGTCCATACGTCGTTGCCCGAAAGACGTAGGTGATTGGTCGTCTTGGACGGATCATCAAGCAGCACACGGCGAACTAGGATGTAGGACTCGCGCCTGCTGAAATAAGACCACCGACCGAAACTGATGAGTGGAGAGCCATTCCCGACAGACGGCGGAAGGAATAGAATGAAGATGATGCCAACGCCAATCGTGATTGCGCCCTCGACTATGAGAAGGAATAAATACACGTTAGAAGAGGAGGCGGATAACTAGAATGGGATATGAGCAAATAATGCATACCTATAAAGAGCCATCTCCATCCAGCTACTCCATACCTATCTCCCATGCTGAGAATACCGGCACCGATAAGCGAGGTAGTAGCTGAAGCAAAAAGATTTCCTAGAAAGAAGATGGAAATGCGCAAGCTAGATTCGGATTTTTTATACCACGTGGACATCGTATAGAGTGAGCCAGGGATAAAGCCGGCTTCGCACTATCAAATGAGTATCAGCATCCATGAACAGCTAAACGGTTTTAGGATACCTCCAACATACCAATCCTAGGAGAATACGAGTGGTAAGATAGCCGCCATAGTTCTTGATGAAGTTCTGGAAGGTAGCAACCAATCCCCAAGCCACAATCTGCCCAGACAACCACTTCTGAGGGCCTATCCGCTGCAGTAGGATGTTGGAGGGGATCTCCAAAAGAACAATGCCCGCCGAGAGAAGACTGCTTCCGACGTTGATCTGGTTTGTATTAATTCCGAGGTCTTGTGTAATAGTGCTAGTGAGGGCATTCGAGATGTTTCCTCGATCCATCTGGAGCGCAAAGAACGCCAACCCGAGGATGGGAAGCAGGATAAAATCAAGTCTAGAGAAGGTTAGAACGCACGCTCGAATTCAAATCATGAACAGAAATTTTGAGGTGATTCGAACTTACTTTCGCTTCACGGCGCGTTCCTCCTCCTCAGTCCAATCTGCCACAGTGGTCTCATCGACGTTAACAGGCGCAGCCTCCTCATCGCTTTGTCCACCACCGCTGGCAATAGTGTCAATCGACTTTTCAATCGCCATTCCGAAGTCTTGCAACCGACAATCAGACAAGAACAGCAGTGAAAAATCAAGCGGCGAAGATCCAATCCCAAGGGCATGGTACGCGAGATTCAGCTTTTAAGTATCACGATATCTCAGCTCCCAGCTGACGCCGTCGTCCAATGAACGGGACGGATCGCCGACTAGCGACTGCGAGGACCGAAACGAAAAGACCAGACCTCATTTTAATGCTGCTTGTTGTGCTGTGCTAACTCCATCCGAATTGCGCGGTGCCGCGACGATTCCCTGCAAGTGACGCTGACGTGCTCGCAGATAAAGTTGCGTGCTTTGCTGGACGGGACCCTGGACCCAATGAGATGGCTCGGACCAATCTACCGACGCGCATTACGCAGGTGGATGAAGAGGTGGTAGTAGGATCTGGATTGCGCTTCAGAATTTTATATGATTTTTTATTTGTCTTCGCAATTGGTTTCCTCTTATGATCGAGGGGGTTGTCATCTTCGTTTTATGCGCGAATACCGGTCTCTCAGCTGCACGTATTAGTATGGGAATCAGAATAGCTGTGACCAGATACCTAGGGAAGTATACAGCTGACATGGCCGAATAATTACATTGCAATAGCACGCAAAATCATAAATACTATGTAAGTGAATTCACCATCATCAAAATCAGGTACTCGTCATCGCAATACCTACGTGTTGAAGGGTAGTAATAAGCTGAAGCTGAGACATGATGAATCCCAACCGACGGCGCGCACTAGAGGCTCTCCGCCCAAAATAATCTACTAAGTCTAGAACTAATTCTTCGAGGCGGACCCAACTTCGGCGGTATAAGGAACGGTAACTTCCATCGCATAGCCCGAGATGAGGAAAGTGGCACGGTTCGACGAAACCATAAAAGGATGCCTATGATAAATCAAATACGACATCAAATTATCGTCGTATGGGACGGCTTGAAAAAAGGCCTATACCTAAATCTCCTATTACTGTAGGTATGCATCCACAAGTTGTTATAGACACCTATGGCTTGGCATCACTTCAAGCTTACAACTCTGAGAGGATATCGTCCTCCAGTCAAGTCGGAAACAAGTTCACCATTCATCATCGCAGAGACATACGCCTCCCCAACAATGACCATGTAATCTCCCACCGCACACAACAGAAGAGGAACATGGCACCCTTTGAGAATGACGATCCGATCGTCTAATTGAAGCTCCGGAGGCCCAAGGCCCATCCGACCTCTCTTGGTGATAAAGAAACGACGACCTAGAACGGCCCTGGTGACGGCATCTGAGAAGTGCTGAACGAACTTCGATCGGGTTTTGTCGGAGCTTCGGATGAAGTCGTCGAACGCCCTGCCAAAAGATGGCGTAGCAAGATTTCCTGTTGGGTCCTTGTCCATCACAATTGTCCTCCAGAAGAGGCTCACCGTCGTACGATCGATATGTTCCAGCGCGATGGATTGCCAGTGCTGTATCGTTGAGACATCCATATGTGTGAGTGGTGCTATATCGTCGACAAGCTCGATTGCATCCACCATCCAGCCTTCAGCGGTGAGAGTAGAAGGGAATTCACTCATGTCTACTATGGCGTCCGTATTACCCGATGCTCGATAGAAGTGTCCACCAACCTCTTCGCTGTTCAATGGACGCAGCGTGTTCAATCCCCGCCAATCCGGTAGCCAGCTTGGGACAACGGCGTTAGAGATGGATAGTCGACCGGACGAGATAACATCTAGATTGTGACGTTTACCTGCCATAAACCTAACGAGATCCAGGAAAACTTCATGGACCGGCTTGGTATAGTCGGGGATTATATCGTCTGGGGACACATCCGAAGCCATTCCAAGCAGGGCGTAAAGTTTGTCGCGCGAGTCAGTGGCCTGGTAATCTTGGGTGCAATGGACGAAGCGCACGAGGGGCATTGTTCTATTCCGCCTAAAATGATCGAGAACCGTGAACTTTTGGTAACCGCAGGATCGAATCATAGACGCCAGAGGATGCGCAAGGAATTCGGCCTGTTGAATCGCCCGACACAGATTCGCCAACATCATCCAGGGAAATATGGTCTCTCCAAGAAGAACGACTATCTCCTGCGCCGCGACAACTTCTTGTACTATCCATATTCGCTTCCACCAGGGACGACTAAACAACTCAACAAGCCCCCTTAATGACTTTTCGGGATAGTTAAAGAGGTTTTTCCTTCCCCTACTCCAATTGCATTTCAGGATCATATCTAATGTAGCATGTACACTGCCGGCCGCATCTCCAAGCCAAACCACCACAGAAGAAGCCGCAGAAAAGATTCGTTTCATCATGTGGACCTGATGATTTCTCTCCTGGACGTTATCCTGGTCAATGCAGACGGCGTCAATCCAATATCGTCGAGGCTCAGTCGAAGACCGTAAACTCAACAAAGCCATACGTAAGTTCCTCGTAATTCCGAGGAATCCGCCGTCGATGGTTATCTCGTCGGTCTTCTTCGTACCACCCCAGGTGTACGACAACGCGTCGTATGAGTCACCGTCGTCATACTCGACGCGATCACATTCGAATCCTAGGACGGGTTGATCCACGAAAAACTCCCTGCTTTATGGTTACTTAACCATGATATTCCATTTCTCCTATCGAATGCTTACCTTCCATGGATGGACCTCCTCACGGATTTCCTCCGCGACTCGTATAAATTCCAGCGCCAAGTATCACCACCGGAATCAGCCGAGTTGACTAAATGATGAGCCCCATGCGATTGAGCTTCAAAGATATCGAGAAGCCTCCTAGTATTTCGCACGAGTCTTGCATCTTGCTGTCGCGACTCTGGTGAGAAGGATGTGGCGGGTGATGTGTATGTTGGCAATTGTACGTGTGATATGGTCCCTTCAAGCCTCTCGTCATCTACTCCTGGGTATAAAGTCAAGACCC